CGATGTCTGTGGCGGGATTGCCGAGGTTATGATTATTTATATTATATTATATCATTATGGTCAAAGCTTGCTTTTAAACTAATATTTTTTTATTATATAAATAGGTCGATCAATTTTATCAAATTTCATCAATAGAATAAATAGACTTTAGATTAAATTAATTTTCACACTATAAATATTATTCTTTATGTATTTTTATTATTTTTTTTTTTTTTAAAAATTTATTATTATTTTTTTTTTTTTTATTATTTTTTTTTTTGTTTTTTTTTTAAATTATTTTATTTTTAAAAATTTTTTTTAGAAAAATATTATTAATTGGATTATTTAATTTGATTATTAATGGTGTGTTGGGTGGGGTATATGCATCTTTTTAAAAAGACACAAATTTTATTAATTTTATTAATTTTATATTAGATTTATTAACAAGTTTATTGATATATACAGTATATATATAATTAATTGAATTAAAAGATGAGATGTTAGGGATATAAACTTAATTATAATGATTAATTCAGCTAACAATATACATATAATATTTAAATTGTTATATTATGTTCCACACAAAATAATAAATAGTAATAATAATAAATCACTTTCATTAGGTCCATTCTCTTTCTCGTATTTCATTTACTTCCATCAAAGTTTTCTATTACATGCAAAATATTTATTAAACTTTAGATATATATACTCTTGAGTTGGTAGTATATTTAATTGTAAGTGTAATGATAAGTTGTGAAATATAACATTATATAATTATTGTTTTAATGGTTTAAAATTTCCATTGTGACGTGTATCTGCACCATATAATTATTGTATTCGTTGCCAAATTTCCTTAAATTAAATTCCTTTTCATTTAAGGAAATATGAATTAGTTCTGCATTGATTTTTGTGTTGAATTGGATAAGGGATGAACGAATGGATTTGATTATAGATGACTGATCACTTGTAAATTTCCTGCATCTATGAACTGCTATAAAATATCAAGAAGACAATGAATGAATATATGCGTCATGTTTTAATTAATTAATGCGACACACAGCCCTAAATTTATCCACAGTGAACGAATATATGTGTAATGATACGATTAACTTTTTTAAATCTGTTTGTACAGTTTTAATATTCCTATGTCTATGTATAGATACATATAAATAAATATGTGTGCGTGTGTATTAGTAGTATATATAATGAAGGTAACAATCTCATGGTTATAATAATTTT